CCATTACAGCTGCCTTTATTTAGAAATAGGGAAAGTAAGGAGTTCAATTTTTGCAACATCAAATAAAGCAACTGAGACACTGGACAGGATGAAGGGGGACAGGCCATATTACTGTATTTTGTTAAATGTGCCCTCAGCATGAAGACTGCAACTGAAACTGTAGAAAAATATGGACAGAGTTGCCCTATGACAAGGTATAAATTGAGAAAAGGAGATGGTTGAGATAGGAGGAAAGAAGGACAGAAAGAAGGAAAAATACATCTACCAGACGTGATGGAAAGTTCACGTTGGTACGAAGAGGAAGATCAGGTATGTCCTGCTCACCTGAAGCAGAATACACATGCACTCTGCAAACAGTACTGTTCTCAGTTTACTTCCAAGTGCAAATCAAGTTGCTGGTTTTGATCTATGAAATCCACATATGCTTTCTGTCCTGGCTATTTAGACTTTTTTTAAACTTTAATGTGCTGCAGTGAATAACTGGGGGCGGTGGGGGGTGGAGAGGGGAGAAGCAGTCAGATTTGGAATCTACTTGTCAAGTCTAATAAGCCTGACCTTGGCAGAAAGTGACCTCTTTGATCAGATCTTGCAGGAGGCTCGAGGCTTGAACAGGTGGAATTTTTGGAGAGCTGCAGACAGTTGAGTATCTGTCCATTTTTATTATTTGCATAGGCTTTTGGATGACTGCAGGTACAGCCAGAGATTCTGATGATGTTAATCAATTGTAAGCAAAGAAGAAAATAAAGCTTTGCTTTTAGAGGTGGTCTTCAGTTTTCTGACTTATAGAATGTGCTTCAGTGATAGCCAGCATATTAATAGAGAAAATAGGAATAAAATAAAGAAATGGCTAAAACGTTCAGGCTAAAGAGACAAAACTTAAATCCCATAAATCTTTATGATGTTTCATCCAAGTGCTTTCAAAATTTTTGGCATCCTAGTCTTTCATAAAACATGCAATTTGTCTCACACACACACTCACTTTGTGTGCTTAGCCTCCTCCCTCACCCCCACCTCCAAATCAACTTGCACTTACCATAAACTGGAGTTTTCCCTGGTAAAATGACTACAACAAGCTGTAACCCAGCATAGGTGTTCTTCAGATGTCTGAACATGGGTTCCACGCTATCTGCTCCCTGGGCATATTTGCAAAAACATGGCTGCCCCTGGATTGGCATTCCTGCATCTCTTGATATCTTCCTCAGTTGTTCTGTAAAAGACCTAAAATGCAGACACGTTAAGTTAGTACAAAGGAACAGAGAATGCAGTTCTGTTCTCAGCTATGTTGGTACAGGCCTATTGTTGTTAATGATGTTAACTTGTACAAAACAGCAAAATTTGGCTGAGCAGAATGGCATCTTTTTTAGATTAAGCAAGCATTCTCATTTAGCCATGAAATGATTTACTTTTAATTATTTTCTTCCCTGTTGCATTGTGAATGACATACAAAAACAGAACGGGGAAACTGACTATGCAAAGTACTCTCGGGTACACAAAAAAACCCAACCAATTGGGGGGAAAAATTCCCTTCATCTTTCAGATTTGAACAGTGTTTTAACTGTAGCTGGTAGAAAGTGAGGCATAACTTTGAATTTTTAAGCTAACCAAGTATTTTTAAATAGGTCCAATGCAGATACAGACTCTTCTAATCGAGTGCGTAGATGCACACATTTGAAGCTTCAATAATGAAAAATGCTCAGTTAAGTACTTCCTTCTCTGTCTTACTTCAACTGTCTTCTTTACTGTGCTAGTTTCTACTGCACAGTAATCAAGACAGACACTGCCATACCCAGTGATGGATAAACTGCTTTTGATGTTGAGGATTTTATGATACCAGCAGAGGGGGAGAAAAACAACCCATCACCACCAAAGCCATACTAGATTCTGCACCATTTTAAATATAACGTTCAATGTTTGTGAGCAAGAAAAGAAAAAAAAAAAAAAATCCTGTAGCTTGCAGAACCTGAAGGGGGGGGGGGGAAAAAAAAAAAAAAATCCTGTAGCTTGCAGAACCTGAAGGGGGGGGGGGGAAAAAAAAAAAAAAATCCTGTAGCTTGCAGAACCTGAAGGGGGGGGGGGGAAAAAAAAAAAAAAATCAAATCCTGTAGCTTGCAGTACCTGAAGGGGGGGGGGAGAGAGAATATAACAAAGAAAAAGTTTTTCAATAAAGAATTACAAAAAAAATGTTATAAAAAGTATAAAAACAACACAACATTTCTACATGACCCATGTGTTTTGAAACCAGTAAGTTAAATAAAATCTATGAAAAAGAAACACACTTACTTAAGATGAACTTCAGTGCATTGGCGTTGGGGAGCAAAGCAGGCAATTGCCCAAACCTTGATTTCAATTCCAGTGTGAAACTGTTTATTCCTCATATCCCAGACTCCTTGAACTGGGGTAGCAATTGCTTTATTCTAAAAAAAAAAAGTAAAGAAATGGGAGATAGTTCATGTTAACAACAAAAAATAATAATCCTTCTGCCCCTTTTTCATTCCAAAAACAAGGCTATCCTTAGTCTGAAATCTCTCAGAAATTTAGGCAGAAGGCAAGGCATGGTGCCATTTTAAAGACTAACCGATTCAAAAAGGCAGAAGCTGTCTTAGACAACAGACTACTTCATCGTGTAGCATCTGACAAAGAAGGCTGTCACTTAGAAAAGCTTTTCTGAACCAGTCAGTCTTTAAAAGGTGCCACCATACCATGCTCCCTGCCTCTCTTTGGACAAATACAGCTAGTAACCTCTCTCAGAAATGGTGATGTATACATTTTATTTCAGTCTTACAAATATCATTATCCATCCTATCACTATAGCAACATACCTCCAGTATGCAAGTCTGGCCAGTTAGGAAACTAAAGCTTTAGAGACAATTCAATTAAATATTTAAATTGCAATTTTTTTGTTCATATGTAAATCCATTCATGTGTAGCATATACAAAACAATTAGAGTAAGTGAGGGCAGCAGGTGAGAAGAGCAATAACCTTTGGTAAAGAAGTTTGAATTCCTATACTTCCCAAGAGCTTAGTGAACTTCCTAAGAATTTATTTATCCTTACAACTGCCAAAACAGACAAAAATATTATCTAGATTTTACACACTGGTAAACAGAGGCACGTAGAGGTTCAATGATTTGTGCAAGGTCACAGAAAAAAAAATATCTATGAAAGGTGAGAACAGATCCTGGTTTCTGAATTACAGACCTGCATAACATTCTCTGTCATTCCCTGGCTCAAGACATCTCTGTGAATCACCTACAAGCAGGAGTATGAAACTCATCCAGTCCTGCAGGGCAGATCAGTAGTACACGGCCAGTCCATGGGTTGGATTGCATATATACACCATCCCCCTTCCCATATGTTGAATCAAGTGTCCACAGAGCTCACTCCAGGACCTAGATTCCCTGTGGTATCCACTCCAGGACCCATGCTGCACGTGATGGCCACCCTAAGGTGCATATACAGCACAGATGCTGGACTGGCTGGGGCATGCACAGAGAGAAGTCCTATGCCCTGTGTGCAGGGGCAGTCCCGCATGCATCGTGTGCAACCTGTGAGTCTACTCCAAGACCTGAAGCAGCACCAGGGACTGGATGACCGGCCCGTGTGGGCTGGATCCAGCCACTGGGCCATGCCTTTGATACTCCTGACCTAGAGGATCACTAGTTATACAAGCAAGAGAAGAAGAAAAATATTAAACTCAATCTGAAAGTGGAAATGCCCTCATAGGTATTTAGTGTTCTGGAGGTGTGATGGGTCTAGTGCTTGTCTGTGCATCTGCCGTAGTATTTAGGGAAGAGGATGACAGTTTGAGGATACTCTCACCCTTGGAGTTAACTCTGTATTTCCAGATGCAGATTGGTGGTACAGGCTTTTTCTTAATCCTGCACTGAAAATCTATGAAGTTGTGAAAAATGACACAGTAGAGGACTCTTGGAGAAATCTAGTGTCATGTAAACTGTGTCTGCAAATATTCTCATATGAAAAGGTCATTCTATAAATTAATTTTCTGAAGACTGGAAATAAGGTGATACCACAGGGGGACCAATCAATTTGGATCAGGATCTGCCTCACCCACCTCAATGGGCCTCTAAGTTTGAATATGCAGAATCATAAGCCTGTGGCAGAAATACTACAGATTAAGGGAGACAAAACATATTGCCTTTTCAGACTTTTCTACGCTACATACACTATAAAACTTTTATATACTCACTAATTTTGTGAGAGTAGCACAAAGGGACTATGCATTCTTAACAGGTATCTTTTTGGTGCTACCAGAAAAAAAACAATTTTCAGGGCTGATATCCATTCATAATCACTCAAAAGGATCGCCGGGTGGCTGACAGCACTGGAAGTCAGAACCCAGGGATCGTACAATGGGTACCAAAAATCAGAGGAAACAAAAAACCAAAGCCATTCTTAAAAAATGTCTGCCTCAGTTTCTGTATCTACAAAATGGGAAGAATCAGTAACACTTCCAGGCTAGTGGGTGGGAGGAGGAAAGGGAGAAGCAGAGGAGAAATGGGTGCTGATTCGGGGGGGAATGGAGAGCGGGAACACCAAAATAGCAAGTCCCAATGGAGCTCCCACTACAATGGCAGCAGCCTGATGAGGGAGCCTGTGTTGCTGTGGCAGAAACCCACACCACTACTACAGCCCCTACTCAAGGAAGTAAGGACTTGACACCCTTCCTCTCTCCCCCAACTGCCCACAATACCAAAATATGAAATTATCCCTGCAGGGATTAAATTTACTCATCTAGCATGGATTACAACTAGATCATGTATATGAAGCGCTTTGAAGGTAATAAATGTTCAGTACCAAGTCCTATGGAACTACTGTATCCATTCATGTCATTATATCCGACATTAAACATCAGTATAATTACTTTAAGAGATCATCACGTATCTGTTTACATACTCTGCCTCCATAAAGGATTGAAGGAGGTTGCAGGACTCTACCAGTCACATCAGTCATTTCATCTTTGACCATTATTCCAAATTCACGAACGTAAGGATCAGTATTAAAACTTGCACTTCGCATCTAAAATAAACAAAAATAAACAAACATATAAATAAATATTCCAACAGGCAAAACAAAGGGCTTCTCATGCGATCTGATTTTTTCCAAAGCATCATCTTATTGCTGGTACCGAACCTGAGCTACTGAGAGCTAAATTTGAGGGATGACAAGTATTTACAGCGCCCATTAGCTCCCCATGGAGATGTGGATTTTTACTACCCATGAAAATTTGGCCCTGGATTTCCAGAACAGGTCCCCTGCAGAAAGAAGCCCACTTTGCAGATAGTATGAATACTTTCAAGCAACTTGTAATGAAGCAAATGTTGTTTTATCAATGGTATAACAACTTAGTAACTACAAGAGAAAAATTGTGTTCTACACTTTGCATTTCTGTTCTCACCACACACTTACCAATTTGCTTATCTCTTCTTGGCGGTCAGGTGCTGATCTTGCTGTTGCACGTATCATAGTGGAAGTCTGATTGTCTGTCAGTTTCTTTATACATCTCTGTCCTGCCACTATGTTGCACACCTATGATAACCCCACACAAAGTCATTTTAAAACATACAAAAGGCATGTTACTTTTTTCCTCTGTTTATACATGCAATGACAAATAGTGTGACGACTGCAAACACAAAACCTAAAACATTTTAATTCATTTCTCTTTCAAAAACATAGTATTTATATGACAGTTTTCTTGCCTCAAGAGGAAGGTATGTGTGTTTCTGCTCCTGTCCAACTTGTAAACATGGAAGATGAGGATAGCGCAGAACCAGCTTGTGCCTATCCTTAAAATACTGAGCCACAGTGCATTCAACTGTTTGTCCATTCTCCTGCTGAAGTGGGAATCTGTAGGAAACCAAACGTGAAAACAAGCCATTATTTTGTACACAACATTTTTCCATAATGAAATCAGGCACAATGCAACGTGGCCCATAGGAAAAGGTTACGTAAAACAAAACCCGATGATAGCAAAGCATATGGGTTTTGGAGGGAGGGGAGATGGGCAGAGAATGAAAATGAAACTTGTTTGGCCTCCAGGTGCAAGAAGAACCTCCTCCCCCACCTCAATATCCACTTTTCAGTGGAGAGATTGGCAGGAAATGGAACACCTGCAATGAAATTCTCTAATTTTGTACTTCCTATTAAAATAGAACAACTTGGAAAGTTCTATTCCAGACACTAGCATACCTCTTTTAAAGGAGACCCAAAATAGACTGCGTATTCCAGTGGTGCTCAACCTTTTTGCCTGGCAGGCCAGGTGAGCAGTGCCCAGTCTGTCCACAGGCTGGACCCAGCAGGTGGTCCCAATCTGGTACCTGGGAAAGAGGGTGGTGGGGCCCTATCCGGCTGCCTGGAGGGAGTAGCCCAGCCATAATCTAGCCATGAGATGGAGGAGGACTTGGTTTGGCTCTAACCCAGCCCTACAGGAGGGGCAAGAGGGGTTGGCTTGGCCTTGATCCAGCCCTGTGAGGGGAAGAAGGCATGGCTTGCCCCTGTCTGGCTGTGCAAGGGGAGGGAGAGTGTACCCTAGCTCTGATCTGCTACCCTAGCCTTGGGAATTTGGCAGTACTGATTGCCACTGTTCCCCTGCCACAACGTGCATCTTTTGCTGTGTGCCCATGTCACGCAAAACAATAGATCTACTATAAAAGCTAATACTGGAGGAGTTAACAGCAAGTCAGTCAAATTAAAAAGCTCTTCATAAAGCTACATATTGTTAAATACATTAGAAGATGCTGGTTCTGCAAGTTTCACACATTTGTGAAATGTTGTTAAGAAACTTCTCTGCCAAGAAATGGAATTATATCCCATGAAAGCAAATAGAGTCCTTCACAAATCAAATAATTTAGGTATTTTTTTGTTAACAAATAAGTGTGCCGTATGCGATTTAGTTCTCCAAGACCCTTGACAAGGTTTAAGGTGTGTTGCTTTAAAATGACAAATTAACTTACCATTTATCACATTTTATTATTATTTTTTTTAGAAGACAATAGTCAGTATCAACAGTTGATTGATCCATTCATTGACTGACTTGCCTTCTCTATTTAGGACTAGTTACACAGTGCATCATCAAATAAGAAAAAACAAGTCCATACAGTTAACTACCAGTAGGTGTTAACCTTACCCAACAGGTTTTTTTTTCCTTTTTACAATAAAAAAAAATACTACTTCAGCCCTGCCCTTTGAATTTCTTCATACCAAAGGATTGCAAAAGTCAGGATCTTCAGAAGTTAACTTGCACGTCTCTTAGCTAGCATTCTAGAGTACTAAAAATAATACAGCAGTGCAGCAGGTTGATGAAACAACTATCATGAGGATAACCAAAATCTAAGAGAAGTGCTTGGCAAATCCTTGACTGTCAAGACACAATGGAACATAGCTCCTACTTATTCTATGTCAATCAGCTTGAGTTCTAACTAAGTAAATGAAAGTGAGAAGAAAATCAGGCATATGTGGAAGGGGTAAGTGTCTGACACAGAATGCCTATCCCAATTCACTACCACTTTCCTACTAGCCAGTCACTGAAAGGACTGTCATCAATGGACTCTCTCCTCCTCCCCAGTGGTGAAATTCACTAGGAAATAAAATATATTAGCTGTAAACTAGTGATGCGACTTAGAATGAAGGCAGTAACAATGGTACCTTGAATTCATCAACAAAAAGACAGAAAAATCGGAAATTAGTTTCTTGCCTTTTTTCAGCAGTGTATGTTGAAGTGATGTTCTAAGTGAAAGCATGGTTTTACTGTGAAATCTTACTATGCTATTATACATTTGTCAGATAGGCTGGATGATTTGCAGAAGCAGTATTTAATCTAGGCTTCCAGAAATGTAAAGACATTCATTTTACATTTAAAAAAAAAAGACTAGAAAAACAAAGTATTTTACGTTTGGTGACTTGCTGGTCGTCTGGTGACATTGCATACTCTGTATTTTCTCTTCATTTGTCCACAGTGTGTTATCTCCACCTTTAGACCTAACAATTTGAAAACAAGAATTATTACCCTACTTCTTCAAAAACCATTTTCAGTCCCTTAGACCCAAAATTGGGGACTTTTGTACCAGTTAAATGCTTGTTATAATTTATGATTAACTAAGATTCTTAATTTATGGATTATCTCATTTAGGGATGCACTGATAAAGATTTTTTTTAGCCAGTACCAATAGCCCATTATTAACCAGCCTCATTGGACGATACCAATCTGATAGCCAATATGCATCCTGGCAGTGTGTGGAGCAGCATCTCATAGTTTCATAGTTTCTAGGGTTGGAAGGGACCT